ATCGGAACTGACGGTATTTCTATGGACCCCGCCAAGGTTGCCGCCATTCGCGATTGGCCCACTCCCTCTTCCGTTTCGGATGTCCAGTGCTTTCTGGGTTTCTCCAACTTCTACCGTCGTTTTGTACGGAAATACTCCCATATCGCCGCGCCTCTCACCGCGTTACTCAAGAAAAATACTAACTTTGTCTGGACCGCTATCGCACAAGCCGCTTTCACGGAGCTCAAGTCACGCTTCATGTCTGGCCCCGTCCTTCGGCATTTCCAACCAGATCGCCCCTGCATCATTGAAACTGACGCTTCTGACAAGGCCCTCGGCGCTGTCTGCAGTCAGCGTGACCAAGATGGACGCCTACATCCTATCGCTTACTACTCCCGAAAACTATTGCCTGCTGAACTCAACTATCAGATCTACGACAAAGAACTCCTTGCCATTGTGTCTGCCTTTAAACATTGGCGACACTACCTGGAATTCTCGCCCGCTACCACGGAAGTCATCACCGACCACAGAAATCTTGAGTACTTTACCACCACGCGCCAATTGAGCCGCCGTCAAGTCCGCTGGTCTGAAATCTTGTCTGACTACAACTTTACCATCCATTAACGCCCTGGCTCCCAGAATGCCGCTGCCGATGCTTTGTCCCGGCGGGACAACCCTGGAGAGGGAGGTGCGGCCCAGCACGGCAAGACCGAGATGACCCTCCTACCGCCGATCCAGATTCTGAACACCATCCAGGCCCGGTCACTGCAACCAGAGACGCCAGCGATCCAGGAAAAAATCAAGACACTAATCCCCGATGATCTATACTTTGGTCCAATACTCGCCAAGACCGCAAAGTCGAACTCGGACAATGCCCAGTACTCAATTCAAGATGGGCTACTCCTGCGGGATGGCCTTGTCTGCGTCCCCGACGATCCCGAACTCAAGAAACAAATCCTTCAAGAATGTCACGACGCCCCAACCGCCGGTCATTTTGGAATTACCAAGACCTCAGACCTTGTCAGTCGAACCTTTTACTGGCCTTCCATGTGGCGTTACATCAAGGATTACATCAACGGTTGTGACACCTGCCAACGGACAAAGTCATCCACTCACAAGCCTTATGGACTTTTACAACCCCTGCCTGTACCAGATCGCCCCTGGACCTCAGTATCGATGGATTTCATCACCCAACTCCCCCCCTCAAACGGCTATACGGCAATCTGTGTTTTTGTGGACCGATTCACCAAGATGGCACACTTTGTCCCCACCTACGACAACATCAATGCACAGGATACGGTCTGTTTGTTCCTAGAACGCGTATTTTCAGCCCACGGTCTCCCGGATGACATTGTTTCTGACAGAGGCGCCACCTTCACTTCAGCCTTCGTTTCCACCATGTTCAAGTCTCTGGGGATCAATCAGAAGCTTTCTACCGCCTACCACCAACGCACCGATGGACAGACCGAGAGAGTAAATTCAATACTGGAACAGTACCTACGAGGGTATATCGACTATCAGCAAACGGACTGGAGCACCCTTCTACCGATAGCAGAATTTGCATACAACAACGCAACACACTCAACAACAAAAACAACACCATTCTTTGCCAACCTCGGCTACCATCCGAAATTCACCATCACCATCCCAAGAGTCTCGAAGGACAATGTCCCAGCCCAGGAACGCGTCCAGGCCCTAAAGAACCTCTATGCGGAGATGCAACTCAATATCCACACCGCCATTGAACAGCATGCCAGGAACTTCGACACCAAGGCCCAACCACAACCCAATCTGCAAGTAGGAGATCTTGTATGGCTAGACGCCCGGAACCTCCAAACGAACAGACCATGCAAGAAGCTCGACCATAAGCGCATGGGCCCTTACCGTATTCTCGAAAAAATCGGCACTCGATCCTTCCGTCTCGATTTACCACCAACGACCAAGCTACATCCTGTCTTTCATGTAAACTTACTTGAGCGTGCGCATCCAGATACGATCCCCGGTCGAGCCTCAAAACGACCTCCTCCGCTTGTCGTCTCCGGCGATGAGGAGTACGAGGTTGAGGCCATTTTGGATTCACGGATCAGGCGCAACCACCTTGAATACTATATACATTGGAGAGGCTACCCCGTATCCGAACGAACCTGGGAACCGGCCGCCTGTGTCAAGAATTCCCCGGACCTTGTTCGCGAGTTCCATCTGCAACACCCTCACAAACCCAGCCAAAGGCCTCTTGGAACTCGGCCCTAGAGGGGGAGGTTGTCACGAGACAAGAGCTTGCTCTTGTGACTTCGCCCTAACGAGTATAAAAGGGCCTTAGATAGCAAATCTATAGCTCTTTACTTGGTATCGCCAATACAACATACTCTTTAACCTATTCCTTATACTCATTTCTTAGTCCTTGATCAAGGTTCTCTTTATCTACTTCATTCTATTGCTTGGTCTGCTTTCTTGACAGCCACGTTGACCGCCGAATCCAGCATTCCCCTTCTGGACCGAACTGTCACCCGCTGTAGGAACTTGGTTGATGCTACCACCAGTAGTCCCCCCGACACGCGTTCCACTTGTCGTCGCAAGCGTTGCTGCTGCCGCTGCCCTCTTCTGCTGGTTGATGAGCTTATCCTTTAAACTCTGGGCCTGCCTCGCTGCTTCGTTATCTGCAGCCCCGGTCAATCGTCTCCTCTCCAAAATAACCGGTGCCCACTCATCACTGTCTGCGGGTCCCTGCATATGCTGCAAACTGTCCATATAAGACTCGAAGGTTGTTTCATCAGGTGCCACACCCAGCATCCCCTCAAGGACCGCAATGCGCTTCTGTAACAAGATCATCGTAAGAACGCTCGGGTCGACCGCTCTCTGCAGCAAGAATAACAAATCAGCGAACTTGGGTAAGTCCTTGACTTGGTACACATCCATCAACCTCTTCATCCGATGGTAGTACTGCTTGTACGATTCACCTCGTTCTAACCCCATCTTGATCACCTTCTCAACCTCATCTGTTCTCTCAGTCTGCGTCATAGCACTCTCCACAAACACTTTCTCGCATCTCGCCCACGGCCACTTTCCTTCAGGGTCACGACTCAAGACTGCATTCATGGCATCAGACGCTTTGCGATCCATATTCGCCAAGCACAACAACCTTGAACATCTCTCATCGAACCCGCCCGTCGTGAACTTTGTTACTCCTATTCTATGGAATTCGTACAGGAACTCTCGGACGTTGGTAATCAAGGGACCATGGATCTTGATGTCAAGAACAGGAAGCAGATGAGCCTCGACCAACCGATGGTAACGCGGAAACTCATTCGACAACTTGATCTCGTCAATCTTTCCACCCTTCTTAACCCCCAACTCCTCATTCTCCTCTCTGGTCACAACACTAGAGAATGCCGTCCTCCCCATGGACCTCTCAGCACTCTCTAGGTCATCCAGCATGACATTCCACTCGTTCATCGCGGTCTTGGCCTCAGCGATCTGACGTGTTAGTTCCGCCAACTTTGGTCGCTCCTGGTCGCCCTCCTCTTGGCTCAACCCTTGGATGCGCGCGGCTAACTGCATCTTCTGTCTCGTCAACGTCGCCAGTTGCATCGAATACTCCTTCATCTTTCCTCTGGCTGCATGGGCATCCATAAAGTCAGAGCCAACAGTCTCCTGCATGTCAACATCAACGTCCATGCCTGCTCCCTCATCTCGTCCCGACGTCAAGGTAAGTGCATCTAACGCACCAACAACCTTATTGCCAACGTCCTCGTTCTTCTTTGCCGTATTCGCTGCCATTCTCTATGACCCAATTAAAGGAAAAGAAAACAAACAGACAAGCAGAATAAACAGAAACGAAATGAGCTTTTGAAAACTGATGATCAACCAGACTGCACCCCAGAAAAAATAATACTGCTACTACTAACGTCAACTTCCAGTACTTTTTTGCTCAGTGATCCACTTGATTCAAAATAAAAATAAAAAACAACACCCAGAAAAAACTAAAAGTTTTCTGATGCAAATGAATTCGGATGAGGGCACACCTAAATGCCAACAAAGACGAATCCCGCGTTTATTTGAACAAGAATGTCCTTGATCAAAACTAACGGTGAGTTTTCTAATGAATCTCTGCTACCGTGTTATATGAAGACCTCAAATGACCACACAGATGTATGATCGCACTTGAAAGCTCCAACACAAAAAGGTAGAATAGTAACCAAATAATAACAACGAAAGTAACCGCCTGTTACACTTCGTATTAATGATCAGTCTCTGCTGTAACCTTGTCACTAGTGACCAGATACACGCACGAAATGACCACAAATAAAAGAAAAGTATCCTGTCCTTGTTGGATTATCCTGAAAATAGAGAAAAATCCTGACAGTAAAGGTCCTGTTCTGTAATGATCCGTAAATGCTCCCGTTACGTCCTGAATCGCTCCTGTAGATTGATGGAGTGTTCCTCGTAATGGGTTGAATGAATAAATAAATGAGTGGATGGATCCTGTCAATCGTTCGACGGATTCTGATCCCGATCCGTGTTGTATTTATCAAAAAAATGAAAATTTTTACGCTAGTCACGCACAATCGAATTGATAAGACAAGAGAGGGATCTTTGTTAACAGCCCAGACACCTCCATTTATGTCGGTGTCTGGTCATATGACTAAATTACTGTCTCTAGCCTAATTACATTAGCTGACACCCCCGAGACAGGCAAATATGCGACATTCTCAACTGTCGCTTCGTAGGCGGTGTGGTCGACACAACAGGGGCGGTCAGGTCCAGGTCTGGGCCATCTGAAGTTCTAGACACAATATGGGACGAGTCAAAGGTTGGGGTCTGGTCCAGTGAAGGTGCCAGGGTGGGGGGGGAGTGAGCATCACGAATTGAGTTTGAAATCTGAGTTTGGCTAGAAGTACTTTCAACTGATAGATCTGGCGACTTTTTTATTTTTTCTTTTGAACTTAACTCTGGTGTGTGAGCACTCCCTTCACCGCTGGGGTAAAAGGAGGGGGTTTCAGCAACTGGGTCCTGGACTGCACCTAGTTGCTGGGGGCATTTCCCGACTGGTCTGTTGGGGGGTTGCCCACGTAAGCAATGTTGTTGACGGCCTGGGACCTGGGAGGTCGGGGCGTATTGCGGTTTTTCCCACAGTCCCAGGAGTAATGTCCGGCATTGGGTCGGCGGCACTTGAAACAGCCGTTGTTGTTCTCCAAGTATAGTCTTTCTTCATCGGTGAGGCGGGCAAGGCGCGGGCGGTTTTGTTGCTGTTGCTGGTTGTTGAACTGAGATGCCATAGCGTTGACAGCGATAGTGAGGGACTGGACCGAGGACATGAGTGCGCGGGTGGTGGGGTCGACACTGATGTTATCAATCTCCATCGCCATTGGGTCGAAGGCGGGGGCGGAGGTTGGGGCTGAGTTGGAGGTCGGGGTTTGTGAGCGGATGTTATTCATAGCCTTGGCGAACATACCCTTGGTGGCGCCTCTGGGTCCGAAAGCATAGATGGTGTCAAATCCTTCAGCCTTGGAGCACATGTCGAAAAAAGTGTTGTTGGGGTTAGATACCTGATCAGTCTGAAGTAATTGCCTCAGGTCGTCGGGGCAGCCTTGGAGAAAAACAACTCTGACGGTGGATTCAAGGAAGACGCGGCCGGTGGGATCCTCCGCAAGTAAAATGTTCATGTAGAGGCGGATGCGGGTAAGGTACTCGGCGAGGTTGGTGGTGAGCTTGGCATTGAGGAGGAGGCCGCGGACGTGTTCAAGGAAGCCGTCAGGCATATATGCCTTCTTGAACAAGGTTGTGAAGGTGAGGTACTCGCAGGTGTCGTCGATGTTAAGGGATTCCCACCAGAGGAGAGAGGTTTGGTTAAGCGGCCCCTTCATGTGCAGAGGATATAAAAAGGCATATAAAAAATATCCAAAGTCCAAGGAACGGAGTGTTGACTTCCATAACTGGCATATCTCTTCATAGTGGGCAACAGAACACAGAATAAAATAGCAATAGACAGCACAAGAATTTTTAAAATGTAATCTCTCCCCTGTATTTCACGACAAAGATACAGTTGGGAATACAAGTGCTTTAGATGATCACATACAAGAACTACTCTGTCGAATCTTGCAGTGAGGGTTACAGGTTAATAGTAGATGGACATATTCAAGAGTTTGGTGTGCGAAAAATAAGAAGACTTTGTTGTTTGGAGAATGTAGTTGTGTTTAGTAGGATAATCGCGCAAGGAATGTTACAGTGGTTGTTTTAAATGGTTGATATCATACATACACTCTCCTCTAATGGACGCGGTGGATATCGTCAAGATCTGCAGAGATGTAACAAACACCATATGATAATTTGGACTTGAAAGGCCTCCTAGGTGGAAGTGTCGAAGACATGTTACATTTTTAAAAAGTTCATGCTATATATACAACCACAAATGCCAACTGTTGACAATTGGATAGTTTTTAAAATATCTACTCTTCATCTGTCTCAACAACTACCAAAACTTTACATCTGGAGAGTACAATTTAGGCAATTCCTCGATCGTGAACCCCATGGCAATTAACTTCTGCTTTTGTTTGTTGTTGGTAAATTTGTCTCGACTATAGTTACTGTCACCGTTTGCAGGTATCTTATACAGCAGTCCAACAATAATGTCCTCTTCGTACCTCTTGAGCAGATGACATCCGTCGAAAAGGTAGTTGGTTGCATATTCATGCTTCTTGTCAAACGAACATGTTGTCCATTTAATTTCGTCTTTATCTATGACGATTATACCCGAGGAGCTTTTATCTTTAGGGTACCTTTTCCACATAACATCCTCAGCATCTTTATCATCCTCAGCATCTTTATCATCTTCAGCATCGTTATCACCCTCAGCATCTTTGTCATCCTCAGCATCGTTATCACCCTCAGCATCTTTGTCATCTTCAGCATCTTTATCACCCACCGCATCTTTGTCATCCTCAGCATCTTTATCGCCCTCAGCATCTTTATCATCCTCACATGTGCTCTCATCTTTCTGTGGCAAGCTTTGCTTATGCTCATGCGGTTTAAATCCCATAGCAAACAACTTCTCTTTTTCCTTCTGGCTAAGAGAATGACACTCTACATTCTCTGCAGCAATATGGTCATCAGTCATCAAGCCGATTACAGTGTCTTTTTTGCGCATCTTGAGAATGTGCATTCCATTTACAAGTACATTCTCGGAATATTCCAAGTACTTGTTAAGTTTTTTCCATATCACCTTGGATTTATCTGTTGGTCCTTCTACTGGTACTTCTTCTTCTACTTCGATCTCCTCGTTGAAAAGCGTCTTTCTCTCTTCATCAGACAATGGTTGAAGTTTCATCTTGCTAAGCATGGAGCGTTCCAAGATATCCAACTCTGGAACATCACCGACACCGCGCAGAGCATCAAGCGTAAACAGGCCAACGTATGTATTCTTTCCAGATAGCCTGACAATGTACTTGCCATTCATCGTAAACTTAGTTGCATACTCAAGCATGTCGTTATTAGGATGAATCATCCATCCTCTGTCCTTCGCACGTGCTATGTCTTTCTCTGATCTAATGTTATGCACCGTTGTGGCCAGTGCAAATGTATGTTCATCTTTTCCATCCTTAGAAACGTCTACATTAGAAGATGGCTCTGCATTTTTGGGCATCTCTGAATGCCTTTTCTTTCGAGAAGTCTTCTTCTCATCATCCTTAGATGACTTTTTATGAGATAGTTTTTCATCAGGGTTATCCTTAGAGGTATCATCTCCAGATTCTACATCAGGTCTGTTATTGGACTTGCCATCATCAGAGTCTTTATCATCAGGGGAATCATCGTCAGAGCCAGCATCATCAGACGTATCACCATCATCTGTATCATCGTCAGAATTCTCATCAGCAGAAGACTCTTCTATTTTTTCTACATCAGCAGGAGTTGCCTCTTGGAGTCCCATCTTTTGTAATATACGTACCTCTTTGTCAGATAATTTCGGTACAGGAAGATTTTTCCCCATGAGCTCAGGTGGACACAATACAATGTAGAGGTCCTTTTCCTTCAGCTTAATAATGTACTTGCCATTTACAGTATAGTTTTTTGCATACAGGAAAGCTGGATTAGTTGCATAACGCATCCATATGCCTGTATTAGCGAGTGGTACATTTTTCTTGGACGTTATGTCAACTACCTTTGGACTCAACGGAAAGGAGACGGCAATTATATCTTCTTCATCATCATCGGACGGCTCCTCATCCGATGACTCCTGCTTGTTTCTCTTTCGCTTCTTTGGTTCTTCATCCTCGGAAGTCATATCATCATCTGAAGGGACAAACTCAGGAGTATGTGTCTTCTTGGTTATCTTGGAAGACTTGGTACGCTTGTTGGCAGGTGCCTTATTGTTACTGCTTTTCATATGACCTTTATGCTGCTCTCGATGACGTCCACAGTATGTTTCACCAAGTTTGGCTACACTACCACAATTAGCGCCCTTAATGGTTGTGCCTTGACACTTGCGCGCAGGATCGTGGACATAACAATGCATGCCTTCATCATCAACTTCCTTCATGCATTTGCGCTTGGACTTGGTGCACTTTGCACCACAAAAGTAGTATCTCTCTACTCCCTCATCCTCATCAAGCGCCTTAAAGATCTTATTTGCATCTTTCTTGGTAAACTCCACTCCCTTCTTAGAAGAAAATGTCTCGAAGGCCTTGGTGATGAGCTCGATTGTAAGCTGAACGTACTGCATGTTTTTGGATATGAACGATATAGATTGTACTTGTGATATGGTGGGTGTGAATGACTTTTCAGTTTATGTGTGGTAGATTGCAGCTGCTTAGTACACTGATATAAAGAATTGCAATAAAAGATGGTTGTATAGGTATGGATGGTTGTATAGATATGGATAATGGTTGGTTGGTTACTAGATAAGATAAAGATTAAGCAAGAGGGAAGTGGAGTCCTTTATTTATACTAATTCATGGGACACTGCCACACTGGATATTAATAGCGCTTGCTTATTAACACTGCTTGGCGCTTAGTAACAAAAGAGTTTTAAAAAGGCATCTAAGTGGTTAATAACGTAGTGTTCCTCGTATGACGTAGATCTTGCTTATTAAGACTGCTTGGCGTTAAAGACGGGGTTTAAAAATGGTTAAGAATGTAGTATTCTTTTATGACATAGGTTTGTACATGTGTTTATGTATTCTTTTATGACGTAGGTTTGTACATGTGTTTATCCTCTTTGTTAAATAAAAAGGAATGTTGTAGAATAGCATAGAATAGCATCCGATCTACTACAATAATACCATGACTTTTAATAATAGATACCGGTGCATATTAGCGTCTAGGCAGTTAATACCGTATCTCAACGCTGACTAAATAGGCTATGTATGTCTATTCTTTTAAAAACCTGCAATAAGTCTACAAATTACCATTAACATCCATTTGTCGCTTCGTACTACGTACCTCAAAGCGCAATGGAAAGGCCGGGTTGCAGTATTACTGGTGGATCCATTGGTGTGTCCTCATCAGAGTACTGGTCCTCATCAACATCACCATGAAGATTAATACCAAGAAATTTGTTCTGGAGTTGTGCCATTGTATTTCCATCCTCCACTAGCGCACCAACATCAACATATCCCATTGGTTGCTCAACGTCGTTCTCTGTTGTCGGATACTCGAATCCTTCGCGAAGCCAAGCTGTATGAATTGGTTCTGCAGAAATCTTCAACAAAGCAACCATCTTTTTCATGTTTAAGAGTAACAAAGATAACTTCAACTGCAAATTATATGTTTGTTTCTTATCCACCAACACAGGAGTACGGTTGTTGTGTTTCTCAAATGTGGAACCAAGGTCTGCAAACAGAGATTCCATCTGCGAGCGGAAACTACCAAAGGTGGTATTGTATAACGCTTCTTCCTGTGTAAGTTCCTTGTTCTTCTGTTTACGGTATGGATGAGCGAAATTTTGGACTCTAAGAATATCAGACTCATCTATAAGCCTCCTTAAGAACTGTGGATACCCTCCATCGAGAGCAATGCAATCCATCTCATGCACTCTCTTGTCCAACTTCATCGTTAGCAGCATTGTTCCATCAGCATTGTTCTTGCAAGATGCAGATTTGGAGACAAATAAAGCCATGCCATTACAATCCATTGCTACCTGTGTGCGTAATCCTGACTTTTTCAGCTTGTAAGAGTACATATCAGCACTACTCTCACCTTTGTATGTTGCTCTTGTATCATGACCATCAAGATGCAATGTAACATGCTTAAATAATGGAGGATTCTTTTCCTTTGCAGACAAAAGGCGTATTTTAATTGTGGAGAACATTGTTGCAATACAGTTGGTGATGTACTTGTTGTGCAAAGTATATTCTTTCTTATAAAACACAGAGTGCATTGCATGAAAACTACTTTTTGGCATGTGTGGTTCCATTGCTTCCATAGACAGTCCTTTGACAAGATGATAGAGCATTAAAAGACCTTTCTCCACTTCTTTGTATGGACCAGGATACTTAACCTTTGGCCAGATGTCAACAAGAAAGAAGTACACTGGAATAGGACCAAGGCGTCGATTTAGGGTTTCTTTTATTTCTGGCATATACCCAATTTCCTTGCTTACAGTACGATGATTATTACGTGGTGTAATTGTTGGCCATCCAGCGTTGAGGAAAGTCCAATGGTCATCAAGCAGTTGTTGGAAGTGTTTTGTTAGATCCATAATAATATTTATGTATTGGATTGTCATGACGTTAACCAACAATAACAATTTTTTAAAAAGGCTTATACTTAACTGTATACACAACAGCATGTAGGATGGTATCTATCATACAGCAAGCACATAGTTGAGAATACAAATATATTTTTATATTTTATTCGGTAGCGGCCCCTT